CATGCGGAAACTCCAGTTGAATCTTCCAAACTTCCGGTAAGTTCTTCCGTGTTCTTTTATACGGCTTTCTAGTCGACTTTGCATTCTCAAGGGTATTTACCCTGTGGAACCCAGCAACCTCAAAAAGGTTGGCAAAGGGAACAGTCAGCCAAAAGTCTACTACAATACCAAAGACATCGCATTTTTGGCTCATGAACCGCTAATGGAAAAGTTTCGACGACTGAGAGTTTATCAGTTGAAGTTGAGGAAAGCTCGTGAAAAGAAAGATAAAGACAAGGAATTTCGAGTCAAGATGAACAAACCACGCTATACACTTCATCATATTGTTCGAGAGAGGTGATTATAAATGCTGCCTAAATTTATGCGCCATTGAACTTTGTTTCAGATACCCCACTCCTCAGGATGCCCTCAGTGATATCAGTGACAGTCTCAATCTCATATTTCTTTTTGCGAGATTGCCACGCCTGACGCAATTCAGTCCCACTCTGATTGCACTCAGTCGTCGCCTTTGTGTGGAGTTCCTTAACTTCGTCGTGGCGATTCAAGCCATTCGAAAGGTAATGCGCGAATTTATCTGTCTCTCATTTCTAGGCATTTATAAGCATCAAGGGGTTCTACATACAAGCCGAAATTCTCGGAAAATCGGTCGTTTGGATCATTCCTCATTCCTCCGCTACACATACTCCGTCAGATGTGGACTATCGCATTCTTGCCACATGCTTAGAATTCGACACAACACTTGTGGGTTCGCTGCTTTGCAAGTAAGTACCTATTTCCCTTATATAGTTGTAGTCTATATCGCCAATACGGTCTTATGTATCCTCCAAAACTATCTGTTCATGTTGACCCGGATCCCACATCATATTACTGTGGGCAAAATGAAAACTACTTTGAAGTAAGTCGCCATGGACAACATTGTTATTCTAGATCCTATCATGTCTTTCTTATCCAGTGAAACGCCTAGAGGAAAAAAATAACGACAACACTGAAGTGGAACATTTAGAAGAACTGCAAGTAAGTTTTCATTTACTCAGCTCCTCGTTTTTTAAACCATGTTGTATTGTTGCCATTATCTTGAATTTAAGAAAATAGATGTATTGAGCTGGTAGCACTTAGACTTTGTAAGTTTTAGTTTCATCATTCGCCATTCGACTGGGCACTGCTTTTTGTTACCAAGAGTTAAACATGAACTATCCGTGACGAAAAATGCTCCCATGTTCAATTTTTACCAGCTAGGCTTTCCATAGGTTCGAACTCTAGACCATCGAGGCGTCGAGCTCTGATGACCTTCCCTCACCCCCCACTAAAGATGATAGTCTAAGATTAATGTACTGTAAGTGCTGTTCTTCCGGGTGTGATACTGCGCTAATGCTTTCCGCGTTCGTCTGCGTATCAACCAATTGTTTTCCCCATAAAATGATCCCCCTAGTGACCACGCCAAACAAGTATGTAAGCATAATCTCAGTGGGTTCAAATCTTTTGGCGTTTTTCACGCCGCTGTAAAGCGCACACTGCCCTCAACTCCACTGAACTTGTCATTGAATGTTTTTCAAGAAACTACATGATACTAATGTTTCAATCCTCTAATTTTTGTCGTCTGGTTTAAGCGGATTACCCGTATTCGCAATCCCTTTCGTTCTCATAAAGTTAACTATATCCCCGTTTCTTCTCAACGATAAAACTTGGTTATATCTGAGTAATATTGAAGAGCGATTTCAGCTTTTACCGACCCGACACCTGTTGCACCGATATGGTATCGAGCTATCTGACAGAGGAATGTAAAACGTCTTGTTCCACAGTGGTGAAACCTGTTCCCCGCTTTGAGACTCCCCGGCGGCCTTCTCCACGCAAATTGATGTCTCACATTGATTGACCATTACTTAGTATCTTAGGGGCCCCAAGTGCCTTAAGATTGAAAGGTTTGTTATACTGCGCTGCTATGAGGACATTTCTGTTCTACGATTGAGATTGCGTGTGGAAAACAGTCATCTTCAGGTCTTCGGTTGTCGACATTTGCGTAGTTTGGCGCATGTTGAGATAAACGGATGGGTCAGCAACGCGGAAGTAAGCTGGCTACTGCGCCTGCCCACCATACTTCACTGCACACAAATTATGAATAGTTCAATACTCCATCGGTTGTCGCGCAGGGTAATCAAGATCGCAATGCTCATTTTGTTGAGCGGGGTGGGTAACAATATGTGGGCTACTGCTCAAACATGTCAACCTTCGTTTTCCGTATTCAACTCTCCCCCGACTCGTAACATTTCGTCAGACAACTTGTCTGCCACTCACCCAAGTTGGTTGACAATTAGCACAGTGAATATCTCCACTTTTCAACTTTTTCGTTGGGGTTCAGTTTTTAAAACCGCTCGGCGATTGGGGTAGCCAGATATAGTATACAAGTTTGCACCAGTCGAGTGCAGTGCTTGTTCAAGACTGGCAGAAGCCTGTGCCTACGCTCACCCGTTGTGGTGGTCAGGTGGAGGTGGTTGAGAGCTCTAGGTACCTTGGGCGCACAATCGTAACTGGAGGTGTTGTTGGGGGAGGTCACATCACGAATAGCAAAAGCCAGGACAGCTTTTTCCAGCATACCATACCTGTGCGCCGCCATGATATTCGACTTTCCTTTGTGACAAGGATGTGCATAGCAGCGGTTCGTAGCGTTCTGCCCTACGGTTGCCAGACCTGGTCCCTCCGTGCCACAAGTGTCTGATAGAAGCACCGGGTGAACAATGGTGAGATTCATCGTTGTGTGTTGGGTACTTATAGTCGCCCTTTGAAAGAAGGAATCACTGTACACGACCTCTGATGACTCGGTCAGGGATAGACTTGCCATCACATCAAATTCACGGTAATATCGCTGGTTAGGACAGCGGCTGCTGTCAGTTGCACCACGCCTCGTTCGCTGCTCTCTCCGTTTCCGAGGTCAGCACATATGGTGACTGGAATATCTCTCATCCTCCAGGATGAGAGTTCAAAAGAATCCGTAACTGGCGGATTGGAGATATTAAAAGATATGGCAGCGAACGGACAACAATACGAATCTGGTTGTTCATTCTTATCAGGTCAGAATGTTAGAAAAAGTGTGTATGTACAGTTAGATTTTGTACGGTGTGGAGAACGGATGTTCCTTTTGCTTTCCACCTTCCTCAAGACAGTCCCAATTCCTGTTCACATTCACGTTCTCACAGACTTGGATGCTTTATGAGCTTGGTACCGATCAGCAAGGTTCGCATCAATGTAGCTCGTTGCACAGTAATGCTTATGGTTAGTCAGTAGCTCCCAGTTTCAAGCATTGACGAATAGCAGCAGTTCCAAAAACACTGAAGGATATCCAAATCCACTTTACTTTACGGCTTCTGACTTCGGGGAGTAGATAAACCGATATCTCAAATTGCGTATATCCTGCAGAAAGTGCTAGTCACCCTTTCTTCCTGTAACGAGTGCCGGATACAGATCAAAGATTAAAGTGTTCCGATTCTTTGCCTATGATGTCCCTTGGTGTTTTCGGCACTCCGTCACGACTACAATGCCAGTTAGGCCAGGAAGGATTGTTCCAGTCTCCACGGCACGCGCCATCAAACCACTAAGTGTTGACGTTGTACGAGCGTGTGAATCCTTGTGACTTCAAAACTGATATCAAGTTACATTCTAAAGTACAGTTAAGCAAAAAGGACCGCTACAGATTGACAGTCATCTGTCATCTCACTACGAATAACATCAAACCGGATCACTACTCATGTGCGCTTTCACTCGACAACCATACTCCATCACATTCGCGGCTTGAAGCACAACCTTGGTTCTATTCACCGGTTTCTTCAGTACGTTCTCTCTCTTGTTCCATTTTTATCCCAAACGTAACGTTCTACTACAGACAGAACCCACCTTTAGTTTCCCAATTATTCGCTTCATACCGCTTCCATATCCAAAGCTGTTTTCTGCGTGCGCTTATGCACATATTTCAGTTCAGTTTCAGTTTAAACAACCATTAAGCATGCATTTCCGTGCAACGCTTTTGGTTGCTGTCTTTTGGCTGCCCATTTGGGTGAACAATAGGAGGAAAACAGGAAGGTTGAAAGTAGGATCGAAGAGAAAATTGAAAAGTTCAGTGGACTAATGTTGCAGAGAAATTGACAAGATGCACGAACGCCACTGTTTACGACACCCAGTCATATCACTGTGTCTCCAACCATCGGTTACGATCATCCCGAGGTCCCCAGCCAGGGAGCCTAACACAACCCATGTGACCCAGGCTCCTGGTTAGGATTTTCATACCCTCATGCCAGGTCTAAGTTTGATCACCCTTGACTTTCTTCCACTCACTACCCGTCTCGGCAAATGTTGCTCGCTGTGACGACCTACCTGGTGACATGCATAAAATGTGCCCCAACCAACGTAAACTAAGGAAGTCGACCACTTGCTCCAGTGGGCGACCGCGGTTGTCTAAAACTTTGCGCCTGACCTCACCATTGCTCATCCGGCTGCCCCACCAAACCCGTGCATTGCTGCGTAGACAGCAGTTTTCAAACACCGACAGTCTTTATCCTGTTTTCTTAATAGCCAAGTTTCTGCGCCGTATTGCAAAACTGGCCGAACTGCTGCAGCATACACTAGACCCTTCACAGACAACCGGATGTCGCGACGGCGCCACAGATGTCTCAAGTTGGCAAATGCCAACCGAGCCTTCTGTATGCGAGCGGACACTTCATTCGTAATGCGTCCACCGGGTGAGATGTAGCTGTCCAGATAAACTTATCCACTTGTTCTATTACTTCTCCAGTTACAGTGAGGCTGGGGACTGGGCCAACCCAATCTTGGAGCGGCATTTTACACTTTGAAGGTGCAAAGCGCATGCCGAACATCGCTACACTAGCACTCAAACTATATAGGAAAGTTTGCAACTTACCTGGATCTTCACTTAGCATCACAATGTTGTCTGCACACTAGATCAGGCAGTTTGCCACCTGGGAGTAAATGGATACCGCTACCCTCTCACGAGGATAGGGCTGTTTCCATAATCACCACTTCCCGTGGTGAACTCAGGTGAGCGATTGACTGAGTCAAAAGCCGCATTCAGATCCAAGAAGGTGGGTCTACGGAAAGAATGTCGGTGCTCCAGAGTTTGACGAAGAGTGAAGGTGTGGTCGATACAACCTCGACTAGATGTAAAACCAGCCTTGTTCTCACGCGTGCACTCTTCACATGCGGCAGACAATCGACGGAGTATGATACCAGCGAGAAGTTTAGAATCAATGTTGATTACACTGTGGTTTTCACAAGGGGATCTTTCACCTTTCTTGTAAATCGGTATGATCGATTCACACCATTCAGATGGAACCTGCTCTCTCTGCCACACTGCCGAGGAGTTTCGTTCATATGTCGATGGGGGCCAGTTGAACTGAGTCTCGAAATGTTCAGCCCATCGATCAAGACGAGTTACTGATCGTGGATTAGTATGCCATCGGATTCCTTAATTAACTCACGCCTATTTTCCTAGGGCCCGTATTCCTAATTAGATGGAAAAGATTGCGACTATTGCCAATAGCCGCAGCCTTCTCCATCTCTCTACATTTTCCTACCCACTACTTCTCGCGGTCATTCCTCAGACTCTTGATGAGATGGCGTCTGAGGAATTTACGCGCTGTCATATGTGGCATCAGGGGGAAGGGTTCTGCAGGCGTCCAGTAGGGCAGCCGAGGTCGACGATATCCACCGTTTATGTTTTGAGCCTGCGTAAGGGTCTGACGTTGTTTTTATTGACATTTGCGTAGCCTTCTTGATTTGCTTCCAGTGTTCATTGAGTCCTTCGGCCGGTGGTTGAGCTGATAGGCGATCGGAGAGTTCCGCTCCGAAGGCCCATTTGCAACTATCGCCGACGTTGTATCGTGGGTATCCGTTGTCGGTACCATTTTTACGATTGTTTGCCAGGCGTAAGGAGAATTTGGTTCGTAGCAA